GCCTCTGATATAAACAGCTTTGGGAATAGAAGTGTACACAGAGTCACTTTAAACTCGTCTCTGTCTTCCTCGTCCTGCCCTCCGGGCACAGTGCTGGCCACGGAGCTGGAACTCAATAAACCTGCGTGGATGGATGGGGCCAGCTCGGCACAGTTCCCTGCTGTGGCTCAGGGCCTGGGTTTGGTTTTTCATCGTGACACGTGTTCTAATTTCCATCAACCATGTCCACTGCCTTTTTTAAAAAGACAGATGCTAAAAAAGGATTCTAGTGGTTGTTCAGGGGATACCTTTTAAGTGCTGTAAGTATTCTAATGATAGCCGTTACCCAGCTTGCACAGTGACTTGGAGGTGGGGCTGCATTGTCCAATTGAGCCCTATGAAGTAGAGCACAGCTTCCCGAGGGGCAGGGTGCTGGGATCGAATCCCGCATCAGCGCTGTCTCTCTCTAACCTGAGACAGGTTACACGGTCTCCCTGGTCCTCAGTTTGCCCATCTCTAGAAGGGGATAATGGTCGTCTCTGCTTCATAGGGTTGTTATAATGGGTAAACGGAATGACACATCTAAGGACTTGGTTAAGCCAGTGCCTGGCACACGGTAAGAACTTAACCAGTTATTAGTCATCACTTAAATTATTACCTAAGTTACTAGTGATTCCTAGTATTCATGACTGTTCGTAACCGTGGTCAAGCCATACGTCCATGGGATGAAGTGCAGAATAGACCAGAATGAAGTGCAGAATGAAGACTGCCTTTATCTCAGAGTGGGAGGGTCCTGAGTGACAGTTTCCATTAGCGTGGTAATGGCATCTAAATAAATTTGGCAGGATTGTTGTTCTTGGCAGAGAGGACTGAAGGCTAATCCACAGGTAGTACTAGATCCTTATGGGCAAGTATTTCTTTGGCGTAATGTACACCTTGCGTGCAGCCTGGCACATGATAACTCCTCGATAAATCATAGCTATTATTTATAGTTATTTCAGGTCCCTGGGACATATCTGCAGACTTAGGGAGAGTATGTATCATTTCGTTTCCCAGGCTGGAGTGGTTTTACAATACATTTTGGTTCTACCAAGCTCCATCTTTGGGAAGTGTTTTCAGTTAGTGATGGCCACAAGGATGTCGTGCAGGTGTACCTCAGGGATACCGCAAGTCTGGTTCCAGACCACTGTGATCTGAATTTTGGGGTTTCCCAGTACAAATCTTTGGGTTCCTCAATGTATATAAAAGTATGTTTACAGTTTACTGTGGGCTGTTAAGTGTGTAATAGCAGGTCTTAAAAGATAATGTATAGAGCCTAGTTAAAAATACTTTATTGCTAAAAAATGCTAACCATCATCTAAGCTTTCAGCAAGTCGTAATCTTTTTGCTGGGAGAGAGTCTTACCTCTAATTTGTAAAAACACAGTATCTTTTAAGCGGAATAAAACAAGGCTCTCACTGGGTAACACATCACCCTGAAACTCAGTTGGGTTAAAACAAATGTACAGGGTGGGGCAAACGTAGGCTTACAGTTGTTTGTGTGGAAAATAATACAATAATTAATAAATAGTAATACAAGAATAAAAACTGTGTTTCCCATACTCATAACTATAAACCTACTTGTGCCTCACCCTGTGTGTTCTCTCTGTGTCTGCAGGTTGGCTGGGGATGGCTGATGTAGGCTGGGCTGGGATTCAAGTGTCTGCCGTCCTCCTTGGACCAGCGGGCTTCCGGGGGTATGAGCTCCTTGTGCTGATGGCAAGAGCACAGAGGTCATGCTCAGTCCCTCAAGCACATTTCAACCTGCTGCTTATGTCCTATCTGCTAGCCTCCCACTGGACAAGGCAAGGCCAAGGTCAAAGGATGAGGACAGACACTCTGCAAAGACATGCAGAGTCACATGAGGGTCTGGATGTAGGGAGAGGTGGAGAAAGGGCCCTGAACGCAGTCCCCCTGGTTCTCCATTGGACTTCCCCAGTTCAGGCTTTGCACGCCTGCTACGAAAGGGCTCTCCTTCTGTTCGGCAGCTCCCCGGTTCCCGTACCCACATTAAGATTCTAAAAGCACTCCAGGGTGGCATTGGAGCACATCGCAAATTCCCCTTTGGTCTTCCGGAGCCTTTCATCTGACAGACAGGAGTTTACTCTACTGTAAAGCAGAGAGTCCCAATTTAGACAGACAGGATGGATTAGGCAGACAGCATCATTGACCCGGTTCCACTTCGTTAGCCTTTCCAATTAAGGAAGATGTTGCTGAAAGGGAGACCTCACAGCTATGGAGTCATACCTGGAGTCCTCTGGACTGAGCCTCTGTAGGGAGAGTCCTATATTTCAAACGTGCACAGAGGGAGGAGAGCAGAATTCTGTCGGCAAGTGAATCCTAGTGTTAACGACTGGCCACTTGTGAGTACTTTATCTTTTTGGCCAGGTAATTAACATGCTAAATAGATAGCATTTGTACTTTTATCTTCCAGGCACTTTTTAATGGATATTGGACCCCTGACCACAGGCCCGCAGGGTCCCTAATCTTGGACAATCAAATAAAGAGTTGGTGCATCACCGTATCCAGGCATCAGGCTCTTGGTTTTGTCAACACGGTGGACAGAGGTTTCCTGTGGTTTCCCAAGGAAGGTCTTTTCCACTGAGGTTGTTCTTAGGGGCTCCTGGTGGCACTTTCCCTTCTTCACCCCCTCAAGATTCTGAGCAATGAAGCATAAGTCCCTAACAATGGCCACAGGGGCTGTGAGGTACAACTTAATCAATCTGGGCACGCACCCAACCTTCCAGGGTAGCGCTTTGCAGGGATGTGGGCTTTCAGAATGAGGCCAGGGTTTGAGTCTCAGACGCCGCTCCTGCTCTCCAGTCAGAACCCCGATGGTGAGATGTGGACGGAGAGACAGGCGCACACAGACCTGTCTGCGGGAGGCGCGGACGTCGCGTGCTCTCATTGAGCAGCATGCCTGTCACTCACTGGGAGGACAGCCTTACATCCTGAAGATAGAAATGGGCCCCACCCAGCGTGCCTGCTCAACACAGGGAAACTGGACGTGCAGGGCCAGCTCTCCCCACGGACAAGTGATGGAGGGGCTCCGTGATGGACGGTGAAACTCACTCCAAAAAAGGGGCTCGTTGGAGGTTCTCAGCCATCACAGCTGCCCCTTGTTCACCGTTGGGAAGGAGCTAGTAAGGGTTTTGAAATATCCCCTCTAAGACTCTTGCATGTCCCCCCACCCCAGGCGGCATTGTGGGGAGAATGGGAGAAACGCACCCCTCAGTATTTTCCTGGGAAGAGGAATAGTCTGCCTGGGTGCAGTGTGAAAACCAGAGTCATGTGTTCCCTCGGGAGTTCCCATGGAGCTGCACCACTGGAGAAATGCTGGTAGCCGTTGGACTCGGGAGTGGATGTGGGGGAGAGGAATCCCCATCTTGAAAGAAAAGCCGGAACTGACCAGAGCTCAGAATGTCCCTGGGCTCCTGGCTCTTCACACTTGTTACCGTTATAAGTAGGCATCATTGTAAAGAGACCACAGAGGAGTGACCAAGAAATTGACAGTTCACCTAGGGTAGGGGTGCAAAGTGTTTCAACTTCTCTATTAGTGCCTTTTTTTTTTTTTATTGTGATAAGAACACTGAGCATGAGATTTACCCTGTTGACAAAATTGTTGACTATAGATAGAATGTTGTCCCGCAGATCTGAACGTCTTACTGATCTTGCCCACCTGGAACTCTGTGCCCCTTGAACAGCAACTCCCAATTCCTTCCTCCCAGACCCTGGCAACCACCATTCTGCCCTCTGGGTCTATGAGTCTGACTGCGTTAGATTCCTGGTGTAGGTGGGCTCATATCTGCCCTCCCGTGTTCACTACAGCCACGCGCATAATAACCAAGGCAAGGAAACAACCGAAATGCCCACTGGGGGATGGTGGAAGAAAATGTGGCGTGTGCGTATAACGAAACAACATTCATCCTTCAGAAAGAAGGAAGCCTTGCTGTAGGCAACAACTCGCATGAACCTGGAGGACACGGTGTCAAGGGAAATAAGACATCGAAGGACAGATATGGCCTGATGCCTACACGTGTTTGTTCTTGTTCACCACCTAGGCCGTGGGGCGGGTGCGCATTTGCGTGGCTTCCTAGAAGCCTGTGCTGGTTTGGAAAATCTGCTTGGCTAAAGCAGAGCTTGCGACGGAGTCATGCCCATTCTCCGTCAGGGGCAGCTTGAGGTTGCTTTCCCGGAATTACGAATCCGAGGTGGTTATGTCCAGAGCCAACATTGTGCAGACAGAAATAGCCTTTATGTGCCGGGTTTCCTGTTTTTCTTGGAAACTGCTTGCTGAAAACCTCTGCCTCCTCCCCATCCGTCCCTGCCTCCTGTGTACCCACCCTGGCCCCCACCCACAGAGTTCATGTTTAATGACCCGAGACGTGACCACCAGGCATTTCCAGTCAATCGGCTTTTGTAGAAAGTGAATGAATTGGACCTTTCTCTGGCCTCCTCTCTCCTGAAGAGGATCTTCCCAGCCCCGTGGAATGTGTTCTGCCAACCAGGAGTTAAGCTCTTCTCTTTCTCTTTCTCATTCCTTCCCTCATTCTTCCCAAGATCAGACACATGTTGGTGGCCTTGCCCTTAATGGGGACTTTCTGTTCTTTCAGGTTTTATTTCTAATCCTCTTATGAACCCCTCTCCCCCTTCCTATAGAGAGTTTGAACACACTTTTGAGATATTCAGTGAGGACACTTGGTTTCTCATTTCTTCCCACTTCAGCATTCTGCATCCTCTCCATGCAGGCGCCTCCTTAACCTCTTCATGACAAGCTTGAGCCCCCTTAATCATCTGGGTATTGGGGGGACATCAGAGATGGGGGCACGCTGTTCTCATGTCTCATAGAATGGGGGAGAGAGCCGGGCGGCCTACCTGTGGGTTCCTTCAGCACTGAAGAGATCTAAGTTTGTTTTAAATGATGCTGGGTAGTCGGTTACGTTTGCCCATCACTCATGGGTGTTTTCTCCTTCCTTCCCACAGGACCCACACCCAAGTCCGCTGATCACCCTGGAGACCCAGGTCAGTACCTTCCTATGGCCGTTGTCCCTTCTCTCTGCACCAGTGTTCTGTGCCGGCTCCCCAGGGAGCGTCTGCGCATCCTCTTGGCTTCCTGGCTCAGTAAGCCTGGACAGGCACCCAAGGCTGTCCTCCTGTCCTGTCGGGGTGTGCATGCACACACACGTGTACACACGCCAGCTGATTGTGCGTGTATGTGTAAGCATACATAGGAGGTAGAAGAGGGGATGGTGGTGAACACACAATGCAATATACAGATGATGTATTATGGAATTGTACACCTGAAACCTATATAATTTTATTAAGCAGCGTTACCCCAATAAATTTAATAAAAAATAAAATTAAAGAAAGAAAGACCCATGGAAAGAACCGTGCACAGTTCTTTGGGGGTTTCCTCTGCCCTTTGCCTTTGAGCAACAGTTGTAAGGGGGTGAGTGGAAAGGGGAGAGGAGGCTGAGGGGAGCCACGCAGGGACTCGGGTTTGGAGAACTGTCTCTCCTGGGCAGGGAGGGAGCAGCTCGGAAGGACCCGGATCACAGTGCTGTTTGTGTGCGGGGCAGGTGACCCGCGGGCTCTGGAGAGGGCGTGGCCCGTACCTTCGCCCTCACTGCCTGAGAGCTAGGGCAGCACCCTGCTCAGTATAGGCCGGAGCCACAGGCCCCGGTAGGATTTCAGAGCCGCGTCCTCTGGCCTGAGCGGTCACTGACCTTTGGCCTCCTCTTCCCATCTAGAACATCACCACAGGGACGGTGCCACCTTGCAGGGTGGTGGTGAGCATTACAGGAGTGATGACCGTAGCGTCATCAGTATACACTAAGTGCTTGTGACTATTAGCTCTTCAGTGTGTTTTTATTGAGTTTTAGAGAAGAAGGGAGAGGGGGAGAGAGAGAGAGAAACATCTATGTAAGAGACACATCGATCAGTTGCCTTCAGAACATGCCCCAACCAGGGATCGAACCCAAACCCTGGGCATGTGTGCTGACTGGGAATTGAACCAGTGACCTTTTGGTGCAGGGGACCATGCTCCAACCAGCTGATCCACACCGGCCAGGGCAGTGTTAGCTCTTTAAACCAATAGAACTGTTACCTTTCCGAGGGGACTTCAGTGTGTCTTTGGATTGGCCATGTCCTTAGCATTGTGGGTGGGTCAGAGACTAAAGGGAGAAGACAGGATGGGTCCCATCCAGAGCCCCACAGCTAAGAGTTTGTGAGGGTCAGAGACAGGCAAACCTTTTGGGACATTTCAAGGCTGAATAGCAGCTCCCTGGAGCCTCTGGAACTCGCTGGAAGGGACCACCTGCCTCTCTCCCTCTTTACCCTCCTCTGTGCGTCCCGCCCTCTCTCTAGCACCTCTGCCTCGGTCTTCCCAAAGGGTATGAGGAGGGAACCCCCCCCACTCCTTCCTTGAGCAGGAAGGCCAGATGTGGGGAAAATGGATTCTCGGGGTTTCTCTGTGTCCTTCGGTCCCCCGATTTCCCAGCACACGCCTGTAGTTATGGTGGCCCCAGGGATGACCAGACAACAGAGCTAGCAGGAAAGAGCAGTGGAGGAGACTTTGAGGGGGACAGGGACCCAGCTCTGCCTGTTTGGGCGTCCTCCGGCTTGGCTCTTCCCAGCTTCTGCCATCCACCTGTGTGCCACAGTGAATCACACCTATCACACCTGTTCTGTTAAATCACCTAAAAATGCATTTTTCCTTACATTGATTTTTTTCTTTCAGAAGTAGACTTATCCTAAGCTAATGGTTCCCAACCAGGGGTATCTTTGGCCCCCAGAAGGCAGTGGGCAATGTCTGAGGACATTTTGGGTCGTCTCCCCTTGTGGGGTGGCTTACCGGTAGCAGCTCGCAGGTAGAGACCAGGGCTGCTGACTGTCCCTCAATGCACAGGACCCTCCCTAGGAAGGAATTACCCAGAGGTGCCAAGGTTGAGAAACACTGTCTCAAGCAGTAATATTGGTGAAATCACAGGTTTGACGTGCTAGTTATGTTTTCTTGCAAAACGTTAAAATAAATATGCAGTCAGTAACATCTCAAAGTTCCTCTGGGTGGCCTGTAAAAGCATCTGCAGGAGCTCCCAGATGTAGGTGTGCCACACTTTGGGAAACGTGTCTCTCCACCGCCTACCCAGGGGGTTGTGAGAACATCCAGGGTGTTTGCAAAGGGATGGCCCTTCTCTCTTTATCAGTTCCTCCCCATAAGGAAAACTCATTAGACTTGGGAATACCCCTCCGGGAAAATAATCTATGTCTAGAATTCTAGAAGCCAAATCTTACTTCCTGGAGATGGAGTGGCTGTACCCCAGATGGTCTGTCCTTGGCCCTCCTGAATCCTTCACTATGGAAACCATCCAATCAGCCCTTCAAAACCTCCATGGGAAAGAACAGTCACATGCCATTGGCTTTGGCCAGCACAATGTGAGTGCGATGGCTCTCCCCTGCACAGTGACCTCTCTTAGAGTCACAGCTGTTTGCCCAGGGTGGCCCGAGCCTTGGTCTGCAGCCCGCTGTGGCACACGACGGGCTTTCTGCATTTGTGCCTCGCCGTCGGGGAGATGACTCAATCTGTCTCCAAACAACACTCCATCAGTCTCATTGGGTTCTCGGTCTTTGGGGAGCTATAGGATGTTGTTGTCTTTCCCCGAGTTCTGATTTCCCACGTTAAAGAGACATTGGAACCCAACCAAAGTGCAGTTTTTAAAAAACTCGGCACAAGCTTGTGGCCAGACCTTTCTTTGTGCTGGGCCTCTGCCCATCGTGTGAGTCACCATGGGCTCCTATTCAGCTGCCACAGGCAGGTCAGATAAGAGGGTCAGGGAAGCACTTTTTGGCAGAAAGTGGTGCCCCCCAAAATCACCCACATGGTACGAGCAAGATGGCAGATGTGGCTGAGCTTGCAAGAACCAACCACCACGCGAGGAAGTGGCAGATGTGGGTGGCTGAGCCCTGGGTCAATGCCCACTTCCTCCCCCCGCGCCCTTTGCTCCTAAGAAAGGTATTACCTGCTCCATCTGGGGGCACGGGTGCCGAAGGTGGGCCTGCCTTTTAGATTTTACTGCCAGCTCCGTCCGTATGTCACACATCAGTGACCTCACTTGTGCAGAGCCCAGCCTGCAGAGGATCCTTGGGCCACCCGGGGGCCTTCCCTTCGTGCATCCCCTCTCTGGTGTGCATTGCATTGTCTCTTACCCGTGCTTGGTGAGTCTGTCCCCGAGCAGCTGTTCTGAGTTGGGGGAGATGCGTCGATCGGCTGCCGAGGGTTCCTAAAGTTCTTGGCTCAGCAGGCGGAGCTCGGCACCTGTTGCATCAGCAGGGCTCTCTGCTTAGCGGCCAGATGAATAGAATGAGGAAGCCGCCTATGGATGGAATCCCTGGTGTCAGTTTCCCCGCAGCAGGCAGCCCCTGGGGTGCGCCAAGGAAGCCGGACTTGCAGTGGTGAACGCTTCCCTGGTCTCCAGATGGTGGTTACCCAAGAACCAGGTGACCTAGAAATGAAAAAAAAAAAAATGTCCGAGAGGAGTTTGAATTTGGTTATTGGCTTGGTGGCATTATCCTGATCCCCACTCTCACTGACGTTTGCCATTGGCCAAGGACTGGCTTCTCCCACTGAATCCTAAGTGCCCTTATTACATAGGTGCTCTTTGGTACCCAATTTCCAGATGAGGAACAGAGGTTAAGGAATTTGTCCAAGTCACATAAGCAGCATATAGTATTGGTGGCTGTCAGACTCAGGGCCCTGTGACATGAGAATCTATCTTCTCGACCTCCATCCCATTTTTTCAGTTGCCTTGTCCAGTAGAAAGATTTGCTAATGCTCAGGTGGAGCTGGAGAGATGGGCTTGATGTAAACAACCCAAGGTCCATAGATAGATAGAAAGAAAGAAAATGTTTTGCACAAGTGTGCACAGGTGTACTTAGATAAATAGGGAGAACAATAGCTAGATGGCGGGTGAGTAAATATATAGATAGATATAATGCTTCCCACAGTGATAACTCTTTGACAGATAGGTTGCATTAAGACTTGTGGGTAAAATGGTTTAATCAATGGACCCAATAGAAAATTTATTTACAAGCAACAAAAATGCAGCATCTCTTTGTGCATCAATAGTGTTTTTGAAAAATCTGAATTCTCATTATTTAATTCTCTCTTTCTCATGGATCCCTGAGATGGTTTATCATTTCTGAATCCACTCCAGTTGATAAGGCTGCTTGTCATTTAATTTAAGCTTCTGCCTCCCTCCCCACTGCTTCACTGTCAATTAGTTAATGGCCTCAACTCCTGCCCTGAGATACCCAGGGAGTTGTAATAGAGGGACTCTTCAGTAGAGTAAGGATTTGTCAATCTGGGTATTTGTGATGTTGGCTCTACTTAGATGGGAGCAAACCTTGGTTTACTTGAGATCCCTCTAAGGACCTGAAAATCAAGAGCAGCAGGAGGAAAACCCCCGACAGTTCAGCCTGCAGCAACCAACCAGGTACTTGAATTTCTTTGATCAGCTAACTTGGCTGGAAAAGGGGGGAGAGTTACATTCATTTTATTTATTTATTTATTTATTTATTTATTTATTTTTAAGCTTATTTTTGTTGTAGAATATATTACAGATATGCCCCCCTCTTCCCTCATTGTCCCCCCTTCTCCCCACTCTCACCCCCCTCCTGCCTTCCCCACACTATTGTCTGTGTCCATTGGTTATGCTTATATGCATATAAGTTCTTTGGTTTATCTCTTCCTATCCCCTCTCCCCCATTCCCTTTGAGGTTCCTCAGTCTAACAAACAATTTGTACTTCTTAATTCCTTCACCTTTTTCACCCATCCCCCCAATCCCCTCCCATTGGGCAACCAACAAAAAGTTCTTTATCTATGAGTCTGTTTCTGTTCTGTTTGTTCATTTTGTTTATAGATTCAATGGTTGATAGATATGCATTTATTGCCATTTTATTGTACATATTTTTGTTCTTTTTCTTTAAGAAGACCATCAACATTTCATATAATACTCGTTTGGTT